TCATTTTAACAGCTGTTAATTCACCGAGGAACGTCGCGGTGTTCAAATGGCATATCTCAGAATGATTTTTTTAATAACACAAGGTTAAACATTAAAGTGTTAAACCTATACTGATTACACTGAAAATGAGTGTTCTTTTGATATTCTAAGAAGTGACTTTGCATTTACTATACATTCGTATAGAATTATAATAGACAATTAGTAACTGCGAAGAATTCGCTCCATTTATACGTAAAATCGTTATTTGTGCGTGTGAAACACACAAATTTTGTTCAACGTCTTCATAAAACATCCAAAATTACGGCACAGACTTCAATTTAGACAAAAATGTACAAACAATACAAGTGTACAAAGTAATCATTGGTATTGCACAGCTTTCTACTAATACGAAATCATACAATTCGAATGAAAGATATATTTTCACTGCATTGTTAGTTAATTACTTAATGTAAATAGCGTAAACACCGGTTAATTCAGGTAATATACTGCTTGAAACGTGAGTAAAACCCGTAAAACCGATTATAAGGAGTTCGAACCCGGAACTTCCACAAAGATAAATAAAAAACTGACCTAAAAACTTGAGAAGTCGACTATTTGAAATTACTGTTTGGTTTTTATTGTAAGTGAGAACTCGCATATTTTTATATTTATTACATTTATCTGAATTAAATTTTTTCTACGAATACAGTTTTTATCTGTCTAGGAACGAAGATAAATAGTACTTACACGAAACAATTGAGCTTATTAGAAAGAATTTAAAAGTTTCCTACTTAAATGTATTCTTGGACATAAAAGTATAGTTTCACACCATTCTTAACTTTTGTTTTCTTTATTAAATAAGAAATTTATTAATAAAAATATGTTTCGTTGCCGTAACTCATCAATCCATTCCTAATCGCTTATATATTTTTAAGGTCTTTCTGGACATTTAGAAAGACTTTTAACCAGAATGGACAGGTAAATAGTAAGGCAAGAGACATATACTCGGGATTGACGAATAAAGGGTGTAACGTCCGAGGAATTTTTCATGGAAAATTATTAAGTACAGAGGGAAGACACTACTAATTGGAGTGGAGAGTATATATTTTTAATTAAATAAATTAAAGGCATTGGGACGATGTCACAATAAGTATTATAAGAGTAATTGTTTTATATTGTATAATATTGCTACCTTATACTTATTTATTGCATTATACACGAGATAACAGATTTAAAATACTTTCAAAATGATTTTCTATAAACACCATCGATTAAATTATGTAATAAAAGTTGTATAAATAGCGACGTTCATTTTACCTACTAAACAATCGAGTGTACTGTACACACAGTATTACCGATAACTCCATTAAATATGTTGGTCTTGTTTGCCTTGTTTACTGTGACTTTTGCCAGACCCGGTAACATTTTTTACACGTTTAAAGTTTACATTAGAAAAATCTAATTCTACAAATATATTTTAACAATTTCTAGTCGATCTTCCCTACACGGCCTTATATAACCCTAAGCTATTCCAAGGAGATATCGTCAGAAGAGAAGACAGTGACGTAAGTGTATTGATTTTAAATAGGTAAGACGTACTAAAATTAATTTAAATTTCAAGTTAGATTATTATGCCATATCGAATCCTTGGGATCGCTGGATCAATGGGAAAGTGCCTTACGTCATCCACTCGTCTTTAGGTTAACTTAAGCTTTTTTTAGAACTTAACATTAATAAAATGACTTTATTAATATAATTTGGTATTTTTTTATAATAGAAAATGCAAATGCAAAATATTTAATCATAACGGCAATGAATCACACATATTAAGCAACCGGAGGATGTATCTCTTTCACAGAAAGACAAACTGAAAGAGATTATGTTATATTTTTCAATGGAGTTGGGTAAATATTTTTTGCTTAATAGAATATTTATATTTATTGGGCTGAAATTTGAAAAAAAAATTGTAGATTTATATATTTTATAACTATATGAATGCAATTGTTATTCGGAAGTCGGTCGAACTGGAGGAGCACAATATCTATCTCTCAACACCCGCTGCCATAACTTGGGGGTTATTATTCACGAACTTTGTCACGAACAGTACTGGGTTTCTATCACGAACAGAATCGATACGATAGAGACAATTATCTTATTATTCATTGGGAGAACATGGTAAAAGGTAAGTTATCGCCATCGGATATTTACGTTTAGATTGTTAGAAATAATACAAAATGTTGATATTGTTAGGAGGAGAGAACCAATTTGCGCTTCTTCCGCTGAGTATAAATACTATTGACGACGCTTTTAGTATCGAATCTATCACGATTTATGGAAGTTACGCATTTTCGAAAGACGGTGTGTCGAAAACTATGGAAGCGAGATCGGGACAAGCTTTTATAGACCCGTATTTCAAGAATAGTTTGAGTGCCAGCGATATTTATAGAATTAAAGCGCTGTACGATTGTGTTTGAAACATAAATATATCAAATTGTAACATCGTAATCTTTCATAAAATAAATATAAATGTTTAAAAAATTCGTTCGATTTTCTAAGAATAAAATAATATTTTCACAAAATGTTTAATTTTCGCATTTACGGCGAGATTTATTGGCATAATTAGTAGCGGACACTTGACAAGGAAGAAAGAAATACGTGTCGTATACAAGTAAAGTCGCTATTGTATCTTTATTGACACGAAATTGAAGCATTCCTCGCTGTGGAAGAACTGAAGAACAAATGTAAGAACTGCGTATTATACTGGAGGCCTGATGCTTTATATTATACAGCACCGTGCCTCGAGTCGTCCAACTGCTTATTTACGATCGTATAAACTCAAACGACGTCTTTTATGTATCTACAACTGATATTAATTTGCTTTCAACCAAAATATTCCACCGAAACGCGATGTTACCGTTTACGAACCTTTTTTATTCCTACAGACTAGAATTATACGTAATAAGAACTGCTGCTGACGAATCTTTTAATGCACGCCGTAGGGATTTTAAAACATTAGAGTCTGTATTCAATCGATTGTGTATTCTAGAGGGTGACATTTCACAGAAACAATGTCACAATTACGTATAATAATGTATAGAAGAATTCTGTTACCAACTTAATATTTTGTAAGTTTTCGTCGTCATCTCTACATAACTATGTGTGTAACGGTTATACAGCGCGATGGTAAAGTGCCTCAGCAGTGAACGAGAAAAGGGCAGGAGCTTCTAGGAATGAAGTAATTAATGACGTCACAGGCAGATCGCGTGTCGAAAGAGTTATGCATGGACAGAAGTATCACATCATACTCACAAAGGTGTCAACGGTCTCTATGTTAATATAGGACTTTCCGATCCACAAGCTGCCAAACAGGGCATTTGTTTTGTGGACTATGAATGGGTAGTTCATTTGTACAGGTATCATGCAACCCACAAGTTGTGGGTATGCTTCTTTGTGCACGGCACCATTGTCTTCAATGTTTATACGTTTATTTGTAACTATCATTGTTGTTATCATTGTATATATTTGCTATTTTGTACATTGTCAATTTATTTTTAATAAATGCGGTGCGGACGCCATGGGAACCCATGGAACACAACTTTCCTTTTACCTTTCCTATCCATCTTTTCACTTCACCTTCACCTAAACCCTTCTCAAACTTTACACCTTCTTTCCACTTCCTACTTCTGGGCTATACCAAAGAGTGAGGCCCACTAAACTAAACTCCAGGATGTCGAAAGAGTTAAGGAACAACAGGCGTTACCGGTGGTGAGAGTCAAGGAAAACACCGCGTTGATTAGTGAATAAATACGTTTATTAACAATAGTAGAATTACAATCCACTGTAACTATAACTGTTCTTTGTCTTGTTTCTTTGTCTTTTTATCTCGTGGAGATTCAACTTCCGATTTTTTTCATTTCAGAGGGTCGCGCAGTTCTATTATTAGTATGATTCTTTTATTTTTAGATGAATCTCACTTTTCATCTGATGCTCTTGGATTAAAGGGCCATTGTGGAAAAGGAAGGAGTGAAAGCAATCAATTATAGATAATTCAGATTTCCATAATATCGAGTTGAGGAGGAGAACATTATAAACACGTTCGCAATACTTGTATAAGTCTTCAGAATAACTTTTGTCAAATTTTTGATAAATCGTTATTGATTATTATAAATTATTCATGGTTTCTGTTTATGTTTAATAATAAGGAGGGAAGTGAACGGTTCGATTTCTTCGTCTAAATCTTGTATTATTCGTTGAACTTTCATTAAAGACGAGAAATTACGATAAACTTGTTAAGGTCCTTTCTTTTGGAAAGTCGTTTTCTCTGTCTGAAGAAACTGTTTCTGTTTACATTCGATTGGACTCGGCAAACAAATCAGGTTTCGGACGTGAATTCATTCTACTCAGTTGGACAAATGTTGCACATATTATTATAATAGAAATAATTAAAAAATAATATATAATCTGATAAGTTTGAGTAGACGAAAGTTTTGATCTATTCGCATTGGTAGCTATTCCAGTGCTTTCGATTTGATCTCGTAATTCTTTCAATTTATTATTTCTCATGCTTTCTAATGCGAGTTTCAGCCAATCACTTTCTGTCTTTAATAGCCTCGCTGATGGATAATTACTCGCGGTCATCGGCAATTCTCTTTCTGGTGTTATATTTCTGATATCGGCTTCGATGGTGGGATGAGACAAGAGTCGATACAAATATTTTATGTATTTGTAGTCCCGAGTATCTCTGGGCAATTTTCGAGATTCTTGTGGATCCCGTTTCTCACGGAACATACTAACGTAACTTTCGTCTTCTGTTCTGTGGTCGACAGAATCCAAATGTCTACCTGGAATGGGTGAAGCCTTTGACAAAATCAAAGGAGAGGATAAAATCAAAATCGAAATATAAATGCAAATCATTGCTAGCGAAATCTTTCTTTGTAAAGAATACATTTTAACAATAAGGATTTATTGTTATTTTGTCTATTATTCAATTTCTTTATTGTCTATTTTAGAAAACCTTGAATAATTTGAATCTGTTTTCGGAATGAAGACTTTTTCTAAAATTATAAACCAGAAAAAGTTATTTTCTAATGCATATTATGGGTTTCTGTGGCCCATTAAAAACGGAAGAGCAGTAAATTCTGTGCCTGTTGTATCTGGATTTACTTATTCTGTTTTGCTGCTGACTAGATTCCAATTTTGTATCGCCCAAAATGGCAGACTAGTTGATTGATTAAACATTAACTTTCGGCACCGAGATTATGTTCTGACTTACAATAGTTCGTCTACTTCCAGTTCTGGGCAACAAGATTCAAAAATCTGATACCTCAGGCATTTTTCAAAATGTATTCATAAGAAAGGTCCGCATTATTGGAAACACCATTAGCGTTTGGTTTGAGCCGAAAAATTCGAAGAAAACGACCGTTGTACTCTTGCATTTATGAACTATGCACATCGTGAAAGGTGTTTCTGCCTTGATTGTTGTTTGCTTGCCCAGTTACAAAGGCCTTCATAGCACTATTTGTACATTAATAAAACTTTTTCGATGAAAATGTTTGCATTATTTTTACACTTTATTAACTTTTTACTCATTCAATGATGGCATCTAAAATTCTTTGTACGACTTTTCGGATAGACCTGACTTTATTGTATGCGTTTAACAGAGAAAACATAACAAAATCCCGAATACATTCAAACCTTTCGATTTGTCACCATCAACTTTTTAGTGAATGAATTCATTTCAATTTTACAATAAAATGGTAAAAAACTTAATCGGTTACAAATTCCCTGGAATATCAAAATGATGTAAATATATGTCATATGGTTTTAAGCGCCAAAAGTCGCGTGACTTGCTGTTTAGCACTTTAAACGTCATGGCTTCACATAAATTCAACTTCAAAATACAGCCACTTACAGCACCGCTATTGCCACAATATTTTTTTGAAGCAGAAAACATTGCGTTTAGGATTTATTCTTTGATAAAATGTATTTACAGAAAAATGGCGTTTACAACGTTAAGGCATTGCATGCTTGAAATATTTTTAACAAAAACAACTTAAGAGTCACTTGGTACATAAATATAATTTTCTATCTTTTATGTAAGTTATAATCCCCCAAGAATGTTAAAATTAACCCAACTCGAATTTATAATTTTAGCCTACGTCACTCATAATTTCATAAATGGAAGGTTGCGTGTTCAATATGCAAATACAGTCAAGGACGTTATCCACATTAAGATAATTTGATACACGCGTTACAATATATGGATATATTAATTTTTAAATCATTTGTTATTCGAAGAGGCAATTATAATTAACATATTTTGTTCTAAACACTTGTTTGAATTTAGCGAACTGTGATTACGCGAACAGAATCTTTGAGCTGCGTGACAGCACGTTGTATGACAAAAATTAGGAAGAAATGGACGAAGAAGTGAAGAATTATGTCAGAGGTACACTTAAAATTGTCCGAAGAAGTAGGAGAGAATCATTTGGATTTGAAGTGCTATCCAGTCTCGAACTTCCTCACTTGTCCACAGGTTTGAGTTGCAATTTTAAGAATGGAGTCAAGTGCTGTTTCGGTGGTTTCGATGTGGTTAGTACGAAATTTTGTCTTTATACGAAGATATCTTTATATGAAATTATTATTATTATTTAGCTGCGGATGGTGTGTTGTGATGACAATATGAGATTTAATCAAACGTATTGTGTTCGAAAATCGGAAATAGTAAAGAAAGTTATGTGGATTCCCGACCACTTTCGTAAATATCCGGAAATATTATTAGTCGCGTGCCAGGATTTGTGGCTTTACGAATGTGAAAATATGAAATTAATACCACGCTGGCGTGCTGGATTTGTGAGTTAATTAATTTGATTACGATTTAATTTAGTAAATTCACAGAAAATTAAATAAGTTTGTTATTAATATATAAGGACTTTAGTGTACAGGTAACCCCCGTATAACACGGTAGTTACGTTCCAAAAAATTGCCGTGTTATGCGAATCCGTGTTATACGAAACAAAGATCTAATACGAATAGGATGGTTAGGTTCCAAAAATTATAAAACATGCTAGTATATTTTCATAATTAAGATAAATATCTTCATTAAAATTTTTTTAAGTGATACATATTAATATAAATTAAACAATGTTTTCTTCGTCATCACTAACCGAGAGCGTTTTCTTTTTGGCAAGTTATCCTTATCCTCTGAGCATTTTTCTGCATTATCTTCAGATCCATGCTTTACCTTTTGCAAAATGTATGTAATTTTAGATTGCTTGCTTCTAGTTAAAAGGTCTTTATAAATTTCCTTATATGGTGCTAAGCACTTATGAAGAATAAAGCAAGTATGGAATAAGGGAAAAACATTCGTCAACATCAGAAGCAGAAGCGTTGCGATCTGGCAATATTCAAACAAGTTTTGAGAAGGACCACCTGTATCGACAGAAGGCGGAGAAAAGAAAATTTACATACTTAAGTACTAATTATTTATTACTTAAGTATGTAAAAATTTATTACATTTCCTGTTGTACGAGGGTTTTATCCAATTCTCGAACCGTGCCAGAGTGAATCCGTGCTATAAAAGTACCGTGTTATACGGGGGATGGTACCAATTCTCGAACCGTGTTAGAGTGAATCCGTGCTATAGAAGTGCCGTGTTATACGGGGGTTACCTATATAAATTTTCTAGTTTGTTTAATCTTAATGATTAAATTCGATGTAGTCTCTTGCTCTTACGGCTGTGTAAATTGTTTTAAATATGGCATCCGTAGTGCTTGTTTCCACATCAACAGAGAAATAGACCAGAAACAGAATTATTGAAAAAAATCACTTTCAAAAAAAGGAAACACTAAGTAAGAAAAGAAACGCATTTTTTTTCTAGAAATGTTTCATCAAGCGGGTTATTTTCTATTAAACTTTTCTATCACTATCTTTGTTATTATTAAAAAAATAAACAATATTTATATATAACAAAATAGAAATTTCACAAATTTAAATAGAGCTGATTTTACATTGAAATCACTTCTATAATGCAACTTCTCTGTAAAGTGCTGATTATCTTCCTACTACTAATGCTCAAAGAAGAAATAGAAGCGCCATATTGTTGCGGGAAAACTGTAGAAACATATTTAACTTTAACTTTTACTTTCTGAATATCTTTAGTTTAAGAAAATATAGACATTACGTTTGTTTTTCTGGTTTCGGGATTATTTTCTGCTAATGTGGAAACCAAGCTAAAATCATATAAAAATTCTGTTATTTCTGTATGATTATATGCTTAAACATTATTTCTAAAAGTAGAAACTTATCTTATTATAATGAGAGTAGGATATACTTAAATTCAATTAACGGAAGTTCACTTAACACTATTTTTCAAGAACAAATTTGGTTCCTAAATCAGGAGCTACTATAGGTTTTTCAAGTTTATATGAACTTAAAACATTTAGGAGCTCTATATACTGCAGGAAATTTAAAAAGTTTTCAGTGTTTTATAATTAGATAAGTAAACATTTTTGATTTGGATTAACTCTCTTCAATGAAGGGGAATAAAATAAACCCAATTGTTAATTTTGACTGGAGTTATTGGGATCCTTCTTATATATCAACGATACAAAAGAATGGCGATTGCGTGTTATGGTCGATGGAGGTAAGATAATTTATTTAAATTTCACAAAATTATACAAGTGATACATCTACATTTTCTCTTATTTTAGAAAGAACAAGAAATATTTCGATTACCATCCGAATTTCTCTACAAACCGAAATTGAAAACCGGTTCACAAAACAATTCAAATTGTCATATGGGATTATGCTTTTGCCGCAATGTACTGAATAATTGTTTAATCACTTACGGTGAGAATACTTCGAATTTTATGCAAGATATGAGATGCCCTACTCCGAAATACGCGTTAACTTTTCGCGAACCGATACTCGACATAAAATGCTCTTTTTGTAATCCTTGGCATGTTGCATATTTCTTCAGAAATAAGGTAAGAACTGACAAATGAAATCCCCCAAAACAATATTTTAACTTTGTTTTCTGTAGGTATTGGTAATAGATGTTAGACGTCCGGAAGAACAAAAGTATAAATTTAAGAAATTTCCTTGTGATGTAGGTACTTGTATCTCTTGGTCTCCATTCAAAGATGAAATTGCTATTGGAAGTGAGTTAGTTATGAAATTCTTTAAAATATATTCATATTACTACTACTACTATTATTATTATTACATTACAGCATCATCAGGACGATGTATATTTTGGGATTTAGAAAGAAATGAATATTTAAGTATCTTTCACGATACAATTAATTTCATAAAGAAAGTCACTTATCATCATTCTAAAGAAGTTCTGTTTATTAATTGTTAAATGGTTTTTATTAAAAATTTATTTAAATATTAATATTTTAATAGATTTTAAATGTTAACTCGAATTTTTCTTTTAAATTAATAAAAATATTCATGAATTTGGCAAAATTTTTGTAAATTTATGTTCATTTTTAAATGATGGATTCATGGAAATGCGATGGATTCGATTGAATTGTTAAATTTTTGTAACAAATTAAGTCAATGGAAATATTTTTTAATATTACAATACGTTAGAGTGCCAATAAAGAGTAGGTTTTGAAAATAGAAAATTTATACAATTATACATAATGTAAATCGTAAAGCCATAAAGCGGGTCTACTGTATACAGATGCAAGAAATTTAGTTCATATTCAATTTTTATAATTTAGAGCTCTTTCTATTAACAACTATTGATAGAAATGTCGGAAGAACTATTGGAGAAATGTGAGCAAAATGTTATATAAATATTGTGAGGAGTGAACCTGCGGTTTCGATTTTCGAAAAAAATTTTACGTCACAATTCAGCCTCTAGGGGAAAATTTGGCCCTTCTCTTCCTTTTAATGTGCAAATCACATACGCTTTGTAACAAATTTCGGTTATAAAACATATCAAATAACGTTCTTCACAATTCTTTACATTTAAATCTTTAATGAACGATGATGCGCTGATGATTATCCAAATTGAATCATTTAATTTCCTGCAAAATGAATATAACCAGTCGGAAATTTATTTACCGTACTTACTTCATGTTAATTTAAGTTATATGAATACTCTTTTTAAAGTTTCTCTTAATTTTAATGTATTTGAGTTGAAGTGCTGATGAGACATATGTAGAAATATAGCATCGACTTACACATTACTCATCTGATTTCAAGCAAGTTAGAACACAAATACAGTTGTCCCTCTATAGTCCGATGTTTTTTAATCCGACATGCTCAGTAGTCCGACGCACCTCCCGTCAAGGTACCCGTCTCCGTTACGTGTCTGCTTGCACAGAAGCATGTCGCGATGTGAATCTCCCCATCCAATTCTTACTCGATGACACACATTTCGTGTGTTTTATGTGAGCAGTTCTGTTCGAACAGTTGGAGTAGAGAATATTGTAAGTTACTGCTAGCAAAACAATGCGAAATATGTAATTATTTTCGGTAATCCGGACACTTTTGGTAATCTGACACACCTTTGGTCCCATACCTGTCGGATTATCAAGGGACAACTGTATTGAATATAAGATTAAAAACACATAAATAAGGTGAAATGTCGCCCTCTTGAAAATTTTAGAAATTCACCATAGTATAATTTAGAATTAAAAATAATAATAATTTATAATTTATTATTAAACATTCAGAATTTATAGAAAATGCAGATAAACAGTGGAAAAGTGGGACGGGGCTCTCAGGCAATTGCCTTTTTGCCCTAACAGGAGAGCCCAAACCAATATTTTATAAACTCATTACTGTAGTAAGAATATCAATATTTAAATTTGGTCCCTAGATTGCTGGTGTGGCATAGGCAGATGGTGCACTGGTGCAGTGCAGAACTTATCCTGCTAGAGGTCACGATAAACAAGCGAACGAGGATACAGTGAGATTCCCAAACATTCCCCCAAAGAAAATAAATATTTGAAGTAACATTTTACACAAGGCTCAACTTTGCCTGGGCTTCCATGAAGCTAAAACGTGCCACTGCAGCCGAACCCATGAGCAGGATAAAAGAAATATAAAACATATATACAGTATAGGATCATGAGTCATGATGTACCCTTCCGTGTACCCTTCAATAACATGGTGAATAATATAGGAAGCATTCTTGAAGAATAACCTTTTACCATGGATCACGGAACTGGTAAAATATTCATATATAAATAATTTCTTTCAAGTATATGGAAAATATTACACTCGAACAGAAGGAATAAGTATGGGAACGATCAGAGGACCAAAATTAGCGGAAATATTAGATAGATCCAAATTCAAATCACCTTTCATTTGAACTTGTAGGATTTTTCTTCTGAATAATCATACTTGTTTGGGAGATATAAGAAAATTGTTTAAACAATATGGTTGTTATATTTTATGGAATAATGGGAATTTTTGTTTATCGAATTTTATGTTGCGTGACTCTGATACAATATATTGGGAGTTCAGAAATAGAATTAGCTTGAATGACAACTTTTTCTGGTACCATACAGTAGACTAAGGATTGAGGACAGAAGACTATTTAAATTTAATTTTTCCTTTAATTTTTAATACGGTATATTATTTATTTATTTTTGTAGTGGCATGAGGCCGTCACAATTTGTTTATGTTTATCTTATTTATATGGAATATTATTGTTGTTAATTATGTATTAGACATTTTTTGATGTATTAGTAATTGTATTTATGTATAGGATATTGCATTTATGCATTGGTTATTTTGTTTATGCAATGGATATTATATTTTATGTAATGGTTATTGTATTTACGAATGATATTACACATTGACTATTATATTTTGTATATTGTTGTTTCTTTATATTTGATAATATACAGTACAGTATTTCTTTGATTACTTTTTCTGTACAAAGAATAAAAAAATCTTGTGCTAAATAAATAAATAATAAATAGAAATATAGTCAAAAAAGTAGTGTGGTTTATAGATTATCATGTATTGTACAGTACTTTATTACCTACAGTAATTCTAGATAAGCATAAATAAGTTTAACTAATAAGCATAATTCATAGTTGCAGATAACTACTGATCCATGTAAAATTATAACTTTACAGGTCCTTGATGAAAAAAAAGGTTGAAAAATACTGCAATAAACATATATATATTTATATTGAAGAGATGCAGATGAATGGAATTATGTTTTTAATTATCAGTGACAGCGTATGAACTGCAAACTAATTACCAAGTGCGTTTATCTTACGTACTGTTGAATTCGTTTTTACCTTTCTTACAAGTATTTCTGCCACGATACAAACAATAGACAATACGAAACCTGTAATGAGAAGAATGAAGTTTCCTAAAAGTTGGTTCAAGTTTAGTGGCTCGACATCATCGTCTTCGCTTTCGTATATTGGAATTACTTCCTCTTTGCTTCTGAGGAATTCCGTTATTCCACTTTCAAACAAACGACGTAAGCTATAAATAAGCAAATGAAATATAAGAATAAAAATTAGAATGTTCATTAATAAAATAATAGTAATTAACTGTACATTTTATTAACGTGTTTCTTATACGGGAAATCTTTTCTTAGGAGATAGGCTNGGAATTACTTCCTCTTTGCTTCTGAGGAATTCCGTTATTCCACTTTCAAACAAACGACGTAAGCTATAAATAAGCAAATGAAATATAAGAATAAAAATTAGAATGTTCATTAATAAAATAATAGTAATTAACTGTACATTTTATTAACGTGTTTCTTATACGGGAAATCTTTTCTTAGGAGATAGGCTACGGGATACGATATATATTGATCTTCACTCGTTATTATTTTGCAATTCAGATACTTCCTGATGAAGAGGTTTATGTATTCAATGTTTTCTATAAAAGCAAAACGACCGTTATTCATTTTCTCGAGAGTATCCCATACACTCAAATAATTGCTTCTTTGATTGATGTGATCGCCCAATGTTTTCGCCATTTCAGATTGATTTCCCTACAAAACAACAAATTTAATCAACACTTACTGAGTGAATCAATATCATTACTAATAGTGTGATATTTATGCATATGAAAGAGAATGGCATGGGAGATAGGGAATTTCCCACACAAATTTAATTTCAGACTGTTTCAAGACCGATTTGAGAAATGTTAAGACATTATTTTGTTAATTGATACTTTAATCTGTTGGCTACTATATAGTGTAAGTCATTAATTTTCGGCATCCGATATTTCCCTGTTACCACAGGGAAATATCGGATGCCGAAAATTAATGGGGTAACATTTAACAATACAGTAGAGCGTCGATTTTCCGAAAGTCAATCATCCGAAAGAATTCCAGTTGGCAAATTTAAATTTTCGCCAGTGCTGTGGCGCTTCAATCTTTGGCTATGTCTTGGGCTACTCAAATATTTTACGTTTTTGATACTAAATTAACATCTGAAGTATAATTTTTTATTGTTTTTATATTTTTCAATATATTTATTTTGTTTGTACAAAATAAAAAAATAATTTAACATCGACGAAAATTCAACGCGAAGCGACACGCAACGGATAAAAATTTTAACATCGGATACGTTAAACTATTTTTTCGTACATAAATCGGTTATCCGAAATATCAGTTATACGAACAACCCCAGTCCCCAATTGATTCGGAAAATCGACGCTCTACTGTACTTGGAAACATAATGAACATATAGGAAGTAGCTAAAATTTGGCAGTCAAAGGAAATAAAATTGGAATATAATTTATATACATACATTCATTAGATAGTGAAATACAATAGATTCATCAATTTATAAAAAGATGAACATGAAAAATATAACAAAATAAACTTAGGATGCCATGGTCAAGAATAGGTTCTAACCATGGAAACCTAAATTTATAGAGTAAAATGGAAAAAACAAGTAAATATATCATAAAGTGAATAGAGACAATACAATTCCGTGTCCGATGTAGCTTCAAATCGTCATGTTTAATTCTAACCAGTTTTGGAAAGAAACAGGTTGTATTAACTGCATTTTGATATGGTAAATAAATAGCACAAAGCATGTTATTATTCAAGCATATAAAGATATCTTAATATTTAATATAATACTCGTGATAAACACTTTAATAAAGAGAGAAATCTTTGAACAACGACAACTTTCCAGCTGCAGGAATATTGACGAAAACGCAAGCAAAATACCATATTTACTCGCATATACGGCTACATATAGCCCATTCACACAGTGTGACTTTAAAAATCAAAATAAAGAAAAATAATAAATTGCATTAATAAATCTAATTTTGTCTAATCACAAGTAAAATATCAAATGAACGTAAATGCACACATTGTCTAGCAAAATTACTGGCATTTTAAACTTTAAGGAAAGATCCTGTAAAATTGACAACATAATTTGTTCATGTAAAGATGGACAATCGGGAACCTTTTTTGCCAATTCTTAACAGTCGAATCCACTCTCCATCGATTACACTTACGAGTTTCTCTGAATTCTGATTTTGGAATAATCATCTGTTTTCACATGGGAATGGATTAAAACTTATATCGTGCTCCTGTGTGATTTTGGAATTTTCATCTGAAATTCAATTCAATAGCTTTGTTTCTCCTGTTGCTATTCGTCTTTACTCTTGACAATATACAAGAACGATTCAAACGACCCAGATAAAATATTTTTGTTTTTAAACACCAGAGGGTGTTTAAAAACAAACATGTCAGGTAAAAAATGTCAGGTAAAAAATGCAAATACATGGTTCACAAAAATTATTTGCAAAAACACAGAATTTTTCTCTCACGTTATAGAACGACCTGGGAATAAATAAAACCATTGTCTTGTATTCGAGTAAATACGCTATGTCATTACTAGGTGCTGATGAAAATTCTTCAAAACATAACAATGCTGCCAACCTTTTAATTTCTTACAATATTTCGATGTTCACTATTTCTCCAGTCTCTACTCTATTTTAAAGTACATTATGTAAATTTTTGAGCTAAGAAATGACAAAATTAACAGAACTTCTTAAATTTACTGAAATATACAGCAATTTATGCATGGAAGAATTATAAAATCATATTACAGTAGAGCGTCATTTATCGGAATCAATTGGGGACTGAGGTGGTTCGGATAACTTATTTTTCGGATAACCGATTATGTACGAAAAAATATAACCTATCCCATGTTGAAATTTTTCTCCGTTGCGTGTCGCTTCGCGTTGAATTTTCGTCGATGTTAAGCCTAATGTAAGCTTTTTAAAATAATAATCGTGGCTATTGTATCGTTAAAAATTATT